GTATAGGGTAAATGCATCTGATCACATAATCAAAAGTGAAAGAATCTTTTTTACAAAGAAACTGTACAATTAGAGGTGAAAGTGAAATTTTCCTACTTCTGCTGACTCTGTCATTACCAGTTACTTAAATACTGCAGATGATGTTTTAACTCTGCAGCGTAACCTGAGTAAAAGGCAGTGTGAAATCCAGACTGTGGCTCTAGACCCAGATCAGGAAGATACATGAATTTTGTTGTCCAAGTGAGTCAGCAGGTCCTATATACATACATTTGAGTGTCTTCCTGGGGAGCAGTGCTTTTCTGAAATAGTCTCTGGCAATTATGATCTTTTCACACTTTTATAATTTCCAAGCAGAATGTAGCTTATTCTAGTTCTTGTGCTGATGCAAATTGCTTCCAGTGCTGAACTGGCTCTAATGCGCAAAGGATCCACACCGTTCATGGAACAAGAGGGAGCTGTGAGTGCAACAGGTGATGGCAGCTATTTTCCAAGCTCTGGTGTCAGGGAGTCTTTACGGTCTTTATTACCACCTATGCATATGGGTGCAATAAGCATGTAACTCACTTCTTTAAAAGCCCAGTGTCTTAGCTGATAATTCAAAATTTGATCTCAAATAGAAAAAAAAGGTTTTGTATGTAAATGGATCTGTTGGTGGTGTCCTTTATTATAAAAAGCTGATATCCTTTGATCCTTCTATTTTTTTATATAATTTCCTCCAAACCCAGAATGTAATTTTATCAAAAGAGGAAGGAGTCAGCTCCATTTAGTAACAATTTATTGGAATGTAGGAAGTTCAAAAAAAATGTGAAATACTTCAAATATAATTTATAGTTCCTTCTTCTCTCTGAAAAATAATTTCTGTTAAAAAAAAAATTCTGCTCTTTGAAATTCGTGGTTATTTTCTACGTGGGGAAAAACATATAAAACCAAATAAGATATCTTAATATGAAGTACATAGGTTCAGAACATTACAGAAATTTAGAAAATATTTGCTGCGTATCTAGCAATCTTCAGACTAGTGAATGATAAAATGTCTGATTCTTTGACAAAGAAACGTAGTCATGGATTGTCAATGCTGGTTCCAGAGAAATGGAAGATAAATTTAGTCTTCCTATGGTAAAGCACAACTTCAGGACAAAGAAGGGTTAAATATTTATTTTTAACTTTTTGTTGTTGTTAACTTGTACAGTAGAACACTGGTGTCCTCTCATGGACACAAATCATAACGACATGATAGTTCTTACCACAGGGCAGGAACTAGGCCAACTCGAATGTCTACGTTTCTGTATATGGTTGCACATTGTAACTAAGAAATTAAAAAAAAAAAAAAATTGTATTACTTCTTTTCTTACAAAATCACTATTAATCAAAGATACCGAATTTATTTACTTTCTTAGTTTTAACTGATTAACTGCTAGGACTGAAACCTGCATTCTTTTCTTTTGAATGTATTGGAGTACAATCCAAATAAATTTCTCCAGAGCCCTGTGCATACTTTACCAGACATTAGCAAGACTAATTCCAAAAGAAAGTATCAAATATTGTCTCATTTTCCCTATTTCTGTTTTTAATTGTTTGCCATGTAAGTTTGACTTGGACTAAATTTTTTTTGATGTATGATGGTGAATAATGGGGAGAAAACTTCAAATCTATTTTCTCCCCTTGCTAAATGTAGCTAATAATTTTTTGAATCTGATTTCACAGTTATTTTCATTAGAACTGTAAAAAAGATATTTTATTTCTGATATCTTTTCACAAAAGTGAAAGTTTTTCAAATATTTTCTGATTTTAAAAGAAAAGTCAGTAGAAGCATTTGTAACTTCCAAAGCTAAGGACATCTATTCAGTAGCAACTTGAAAGCATCATTAGTTAATAGGAAATGGTATGTTCTTAGACTGTAAGACTTGCACTTCTTGAATTATTTGCCTTTATTCAGGACGGATAACAGGGAGCGACAAG